CGTAATGCAAGAATATATATTAGGATGTGTTTGTTTTATCATTATTAATGTCAGATGTTTGACAATTTGAATTGTCAATCTTTTTATTTTATGATTAAATTATAAACAATGAATTTTACTAAATACTACTACTACTGAACATTATTACTTTGTGAACAATAAATAATATTGTTTACAAATCGATCAATATAATGAAATGTACTCAGTTGACGAAAAATCGCATAACGGCGCGAACCTTTTCCTGCCACTACCGGATCTTTATTTAACGTAAGATAGGTATTCTAATTCACCAAAATTTAATTCCATGTTAAGTTATACAACTATTCAATGAATTCCAATATACTGTTACTGTGATCTTTATTCCTAATAATAATATATGATTATTTCTAAACATAAAACTATAACAAATATTATACCTAATAAAACATGAAGAAAACATTTTTATTATTGCTTTTTTCTCTTCAACTGAGTACATTTTTTAATCAACTTAATTTTTTTTAAACATTAAATCATAAAATTTTGGCCATTTAAATCATAGATAAATATAATATAATTGATTTAAATATTGTCAAATATCAGAAACAATAATATGACAAAACGCAACACGTAATACACATTTTTTCACAGAAAAATGTATTATATTTTAGCAAAATTTTGGAATACGTTTAAGTCGTAGAATAAGTTTAACAGTTGTTTTCGGTACATATTTGAGTCCTCTACAAATAGTTTCCCATGACTTTTGGTGTAAAATAATTAGGGAAGCAGGAATTCAACAATTTAGAATTTACCATTGAGTTTCCTATGGACCGTTTGCCGATTCACCACCCTGTATAAAATTTCCTCAATCGTCGTCGACTTTTTCGTCCGGAACATAAACGTCTTCGCGAACTACCCATTTTAAAAACAACAAAACACACTGGTTTGTAAAAACTAGTCAAAAGTCGAAATAAGCCCTATAATGTTATTCAACATTATTTATGACCCTCCGTCTTTCTTACCTACTCGTCGGCGAGAGTATCCAGAAACTATCAACAAGGACAGCTTGTACTGACCGAGAGAGAGCATTTAGCACAATTTAACATTTTTTAAATAGTTTATATGAAATAGCTGCTTTGTGTTACACTTTATGTTAAAAATAAAAACAGATTCGGAAAGTGGGTAAAATTCTGTAGTGCCCTATTTCAAAAAAAAAAAATTACGTTTATTTTAACCAAAAATATTTAAAAAAAAAATATTGTTTAAACAATTTATTAATTTACCACCAAATAGTGCACTAGAACTTTTTAAGACCTTTCATATAAAAAAAGAATCATCTCAATATCTGCCATAGTTTTTGCGTTATTTGATATAAACTTTTACATTGGAATTTAGTTATGCCCAGAATCGCGAGGAATGGCCTTAAAAGGCAGCAAATATTGATTTTTCACGTTGAGAACCCCTATGAATAGCTCTTCTGACGAGACCTATTAGGTCGAAATACGTATCAAGAGATACATAGGATTTGTTTGCGTGAAATCAAATATTTGCTGCCTTTTCTCATTAAAAAAAAAAATTGTTTTTGTACCCTTAAAAAAATATTTTTTGAATGAGAATTAAATTCTCATTCAAATGAGGTGTCGCATTATACCGATTTCTATTTAAAAAAATTAACGATTACGTCACTACACCCACACCGGTGACGTCATCCCTACGTTATAAGATGGGTATTTTATAACAAAAATCGACCTGTTTCGGGACTTCTCTCAAAACTCGACGGTTCTCGAAATAATGATAATATTCCATAATTTAGCCATTAACTGTATGATTCATTGATAGATTTTATACAAAACTTTCAGAGATGATTTTAACAATTTAGAAAAAGAAGCAGACAAAGTTAAGGACATTGCATATATTAATGATAAAAACGACAGAACATGCGAAAACTATTTCATGATGAAATTCCAGAACATGAAATAAGATTCCATGGCAAGGAACATTCTAAAGTTAATATTTTTTGTTGTACCAATGCGATTCTTTAATTAGCAATTAAAAAAGATCTGAGGGATATAAAGTGATAAAGTATAGTGATGTTAGTGACTCTTTAATTGAGGATTTAAAATGTTATGAACAAGATTTGAAACCTAGCAAAACTGAAAAGTGAAGTATTATAATTTAAGACTTTTATAAGTAAAGAAAATTTCATGTGTATCCTTATGGGTATTTATTATCAACTTTAGGCAAACAAAAATTAAATAGTTTATTATTACTTTATGTATTATTTCAAGTTTCAAAATTTATTATTTAAAAAAAAACAAAAAAAAAACAAAGATTGAATGCAAACCTGTACATTCACAATAACGAAATTGAACGGGTGCACAAATATAAGTATTTGGGAAGAAGTGTTAATAACAACAATGGCATCACAGAAGAAATAAAATCTAGAATTGGAAAGGCTCGAGCTGCTTTTGTTAAGATGAAGGACATTCTGGGAACTGATGACATTAACTTAACCTGAAAATGAGGTTCTTCTTCTTTAAGTGCCGTCTCCCAATCGGAGGTTGGATATCATCATCACAATCTTTACTTTATCTACTGCTGCTCTAAAGAGTTCTATAGAACTGCATTTAAACCAGTCCCTTAAATTCTTCAACCATGACACTCTCCTTCTTCCTATACTCCTTCCTCCTCTTATCTTTTTCTGTATTATCAGCCTTAGCAGTTCATATCGCTATCCCCTCATTAAGTGTCCCAGATATTGTAACTTTCTTATTTTTATTGTGTTTATTATTTCGCATTCTTTGCCCATTTCTCGCAATACTTTAATGTTAGTTTTATTCTGTGTCCATGCTATTCTAAGCATCCTCCTGTAACACCACATTTCAAAGGACTGTAACTTATTCATGTGTTCTTGCTTCAATGTCCAGTTTTCAAGTCCATATTGCAGTTATCTTTGTTGCAGAGAATTGTTTTCATTTTTACAAACGCATTTCTTGCTATTTCTATCCTAACTTTTATTTCGGTTGTTTGATCATTATTGTCTGAACTCCAGGTTCCTAGGTATTTGTATTTATCAACCCTTTCTATCGGTACATTTCCCAAATGTGTGTTTGTTGGTATATTTGTTTTCTTTGTTATTATCATGTATTTGGTCTTTTTTATATTTATTTTTAGTCCATATTTTTCACAGGAACTGTTTGTTTTGTTTAGCAGTAATTGGAGATGTTCAGCAGAGCTTGCCATAATTACGGTGTCATCTGCATATCTTATGTAGTTAGTAAATCTTCCGTTAATTATTATTCCTTCACTTTGAGATAGTAATGCTTCTTCAAAAATGGCTTCACTATATACATTAAATAGTAATGGGGACATAATACATCCCTGTCTAACTCCTCTACTGATTTCAGTTTCTGGACTGGGTTCGTTATCTATTACGATTTGTGCTCTTTGATTCCAGTAGAGGTTTGTTATTATTTGTAAGTCCCTGTGGTCTATGTTTTTTGTCTTTACAATTTGGACTAATTTTTCATGTCTTACTTTGTCAAATGCTTTTTCAAAATCACTGTAAACAAACATGCACATCAACATTCATATTCATGCAGCTTTGAGCTAACACATTAAAAGCAAATAACGCTTCTCTGGTTCCTAGTCCGTTTCTGAACCTAAACTGACTATCATCTATTCCTTCTTCCAGTTTTTTATTTATACGACCATACAAATTCTATATATATATATATATATATATATATATATATATATATATATATTTATATATATATATATATTATTTTCAGGAATAATTTGAGAATGTGACTTATTAGTGATATTGTTCTGTATTCACTGCAACGTTTTTATTTTTAGGGATAGCACAAAAGGTGGAGAGTAACCATTGTTTCGGTATGCGTCCTGTTTTGTATACTGAGTTAAATAAGTCTACTATAATGTCTAAGGTTTCATCATTCATGCATTTTAAGATTTCTATAGGGATTTCGTCTGGACCTAATGCTTTACCAGTTTTGCTGTTTTTTAATGCCATTTTAATTTCTTCTTTTAATATCTTTAAAGCCATATCCTGTTCTACTTCTATCTTCATCTGTTCTGTTCTATTGTCTTTGAATAGTCCATTGATGTATTCTGTCCATCTCTTTAATTTGTCGTTAGTATTCAACACAAGTTTCCCATTTGCATCTTTCAGTATTCCTGGTTTTCTTGTTCTATTGTTGTGAGTTAATTTTTTATGTGTGTTAAAACTATCATGTCTTTTCTGATATTCGTCTATGCGCATTGTTCTTTTAGCCATTGTTCTTTCGCTTTCTTAATTCTGTATTTTATTTGTTTATCCACTTTTTTGTACTGATTATCTGATTAGCATATCTGACAAAATAACAAAAATAAAAAGAATGAACAAAGAACGCGAGCTGTTGATCACCATCAAGAGAAGAAAGTTGGAATATCTTGGTTATGTGATGAGAGGGAGGAAGTACCGATTGCTCCAGTTAATTATCTATGGAAATATTCAGGGCAAACGAAGCGTGGGGAGATGACGTATATCTTGGCTGCGCAATTTAAGAGACTGGTTCCAGTGCACATCTAACCAATTATTTAAGCAACAGCTTCAAAGATGCGAATGGCAATGATGATTGCCAAACTCCGTAGCGGAGAGGGCACTTGAAGAAGAAGATATAGAAAAAGAGTTATTAAATAATTATGACAAACTAATTGACGAGTTTGCAGAATTAAAAATGAGGAAACAGGCAATAAACTAATCAATCTGGATATATTTGGTTAAAAGTATGATTGTTTGTTTTAATAAATTATTGATGATTGAGTATTCTTTATGAGAATGTTATATTATGTGTTTTATTTTTAATATTTATTATTATTATATTGCTCTTTTCTCAGTTTATTTCTATCTTCATATGTTATATCTCTTAAGAAAAGGGAAATTTTCAGCAGTTTTGCTATTTCCAAATTAAATATAATTAACGTTTATATTGATATTTAATGATTGATTTCTATTTTAGGATCTATTGCAATTCCTGGTGCTTGCATAGGAATATTTATGGGCGGAGTAATCTTAAAGAAGATGGAACTCCGACCAAAGGGAGCTGTGCAATTCGTTCTTATATCAAATGCAATTTGTTTACTGTGTTACGGACTTTTATTCTTCCTAGGGTGTGATAATTTAAAGATGGCTGGTACAACGATACCATACTTCAACAGTACACAACCATTTCAGGTCAATTTAACTTCATCTTGTAATTTTGGTTGTGAGTGTAGTATAAACGACGTCGAACCTGTCTGTGGAAATAACGGATTGACATATTTTAGCCCATGTCATGCTGGTTGTACTTCCATATTAAGTACAAACTATACCAATTGTGCCTGTAAGTATATAAAATAATTATTACTTCTGTTTTATGGTTATATTGTACTTATTGCTTATTTTTTAGTCATTCTCTTTCTGCATTTTCTTTTTCTTCTTAAATCAATTCTTTATCTTAAGTAAGAACACACAAATATACAAAGCATTACGAGGGTTAACTTGCTAACTAAAGTAGGCACAATAAATCACAGCTTTTATGAAGCTATTCAACAACATGTATGAGAGTGGTCACTTACCAAAGACGGGCTACTATCATTCCACTACATTCCACTAATATTCATTTCACTTCCCAAAAAAGCCAACGCTAGTAAATGTGAAGAACATAGACTGATTAGTTTGATGAGCCATGTACTTCAAGTACTTCTTACCATCATTTACTCTCGCACATATCCCAAATTAGAAATACACATAAGTGAAGTTTAATTTGGATTCAAAGAAGGACTCGGAACGAGGAAAACTCTTTTTAGTTTGAAAGTTCTAATACAGAGGGCAAGAGATGTCAACTGCGACTTTCATAGATTTCGAGAAGGCATTTGACAAAGTACCCCAGGGGCAACTAATCGATATCCTTAAGAGAACAGGACTCGATGGTAAGGATATAATACTAATCTCAAACTTATATCTAACAACAATGCGATTTGAAAATGAACTGTGCGAGATCTTCGGAGTCGGAAAACGAGTTCTACAGGTTTGCATACTGTCACCAGTCTTATTTAACTCTGAAAACATCTTTAGAGAAGACCTGGACGAATCAGAAGGTGGTATTGCAGTAAATGGCTAACTTATAATCAATATTAGATATGCAGACTGTGCCGTATTGTTGGCAGAGGGTGAGCAGGGGCTTCAAAGGATAATGGATAATTTTGTAGCAACATCTTACAAATACGACCTAAAACTAAATTTTAAGAAGACAAAAATAACGATCAGTAATAAGAACACTAACATAAACGCTCACATTACAATAAACGATACACTGTTAGAAACAGTAGAGGAAATATGCTATCTAACCTGCAATACTAAGGAAACTTTGATAAAGCCAGAAGCTCTTTTAACGGTCTTATGAAGATTCTCTCTCTCTCTCTCTCTCTCTCTCTCTCTCTCTCTCTCTCTCTCTCTCTATATATATACCGGGTGGTGAATCGTCAAACGGACCATAGGAAACTCAATGAGAAATTTTAAATTGTTGAATTGCTGCTTCCCTAATTATTTTAGATCAAAAGTCATATAAAACTATTTGTATAGGACTAAAATCTGAGTTAAAAACAAATGTTAAAACCGTTCTACGACTCAAATGTACTTAAAAATTTTGCAAAAATATAATACATTTTTCAGGCCACCCCTAAAAGTTAGGCCACATGTAATGCAAGAATATATATTAGGACGTTTGTGTTTTATCATATTTATGTCAGATGTTTGACAATTTGAATTGTCAATTTTTTTATTTTATGATTAAATTATAAACAATGAATTTTACTAAATACTACTACTAATAAACATTATTACTTTGTGAACAATAAATTATATTGTTTACAAATCGATCAATATAATGAAATGTACTGAGTTGACGAAAAATCGCATAATGTTGTATTCAGGCAATAGCGCGAACCTTTTCCTGCCACTACCGGATCTTTATTTAACGTAAGATATTCTACTTAATTCACTAAAATTTAATTCCATGTTAAGTTATACAACAATTCAATGAATTCCAATATACTGTTACTGTGATCTTTATTCCTAATAATAATATATGATAATTTCTAAACATAAAACTATAACAAATGTTATAATAAAACATGAATAAAACATTTTTATTACTGCTTTTTTCTTTTCAACTAAATACATTTTTTAATCAACTTAATTTTTTTTAACAATAAATCACAAAATTTTGGCCATTGGCATAGATAAATGTAATATAATTGATTTAAATATTGTCAAATATCAGAAACAATAATATGACAAAACGCAACACGTAATACACATATTTTCACAGTAAAATGTATTATATTTTAGCAAAATTTTGGAATACGTTTAAGTCGTAGAATAATTTTAACAGTTGTTTTCGATACATATTTGAGTCCTCTACAAATAGTTTCCCATGGCTTTTGGTGTAAAATAATTAGGGAAGCAGGAATTCAACAATTTAGAATTTCCCATTGAGTTTCCTATGGTCCGTTTGACGATTCACCACCCTGTATATATATATATATATATATATATATATATATATATATATATATATATATATATATACATATATATATTGAACCTTTTACATCCCTTACTGATTCATACCTAATTACATAAACCCTCTCTTATAGACAATTTATATTTTCCCTCCTTGACTAATTGTCATTCTAAACTCCCGATTCCAACCTATCTTCACCACATATTGGTTTTGTAGACATTTCTACTTAACAATCTATTTGCTTCAGTGTTCTCTGCGTTGTTAGGTTTGCGTTTCTGTGTATTGCGCCTGCTCGTCTCATTCTCCCACAGAAAGTTGGATCAACTCAGAACTAATAAATCCACACATTCTATTGCAATGAAAATGCGGCAATTTGACTTTCGTTTTTCGAGTCCGAATCCGTTAGATGGAAATGCGCCCTAAAGTGAAGTTCAAAATTTGTTTGTTATAACAATTCAGCTCTGTGCCAGTGCGTTTTAGTCACTTTGTTATTTTATTTCTACATTTGACTGTTGTAAGTTAGTTTTTTACGTGTAATGTTAACGAGTTTTTTAGTAAGCTTGGTAGTAGTTTTTTATTCTGTCGTTCATTTGTAAATCAAACTTTTTCGCTTTGAAAAACACGAATGCTACTATTTTACCAAAAATTTAATGTTTTGACCACAGTTAACAAAGGGAATGGTGTGTTTATTTACACCTTTTATTCTTCACTCTACATTCGTAAGTTAATTTTCCATGTTTTTGTATAATATTACCTACTAGTAATATTTTTTAGATTTGAACTGATGAAGCTTGTGAACACCACAAGCGAAACGTCTTCAAATATAAGAATGGAACTGTGATATTATTTCTCCTTTGACCGATATCCTCGTTGATCAAAAGAATTTTTCTTTTGAAACTTACTGCATTGAATAATTGTTTGACGGTCGTACTCCTTTTTATATATATATATATATATTATATATTATATATATATATATATATATATATATATATATATATATATATATATATATACCTGGTGGTGAATATCAATGGCAAATTTTAAATTGTTGAATTGCTGCTTCCCTAATTATTTTAGATCAAAAGCCATAAAAAACTATTTGTAGAGGACTAAATTCTAAATTAAAAACAAATGTTAAAACCGTTCTACGAATCAAATGTACGTCAAAATTTTGCAAAAATATAATAGATTTTTCAGACCACCCCTAAAAGTTAGGCCATACGTAATACAAGAATATATTATAACGTGTGTGTTTTATCATATTTATGTCAGATGTTTGACAATTTGAATTGTCAATTTTTTTTATTTTATGATTAAATTATAAACAATGAATTTTACTAAATACTACTACTACTGAACAATATTACTTTGTGAACAATAAATTATATTGTTTACAAATCGATCAATATAATGAAATGTACTCAGTTGACGAAAAATCGCATAATGTTGTATTCAGGCGCGAACCTTTTCCTGTCACTACCGGATCTTTATTTAACGTAAGATATTCTAATACACTAATATTTAATTCCATGTTAAGTTAAGTTATACAAAAATTCAATGAATTTCAATATACTGTCACTGTGATCTTTATTCCTAATAATAATATACGATAATTTCTAAACATAAAACTATAACAAATGTTATAATAAAACATGAATAAAACATTTTTATTATTGCTCTTTTCTCCTTAACTGAGTACATTTTTTAATCAACTTAATTTTTCTTTTAAATAATAAATCACAAAATTTTGGCCATTTAAATCATAGATAAATATAATATAGTTGATTTAAATATTGTCAAATATTAGAAACGTCAATATGACAAAACGCAACACGTAATACACATTCTTTTCACGGCGTCTGGCTTGACTTTTAGGGGTGGCCTGAAAAATATATTATATTTTAGCAAAATTTTGGAATACGTTTAATTTGTAGAACAATTTTAACAATTGTTTTCGATACATTTGAGTCCTCTACAAATAGTTTCCCATGACTTTTGGTGTAAAATAATTAGGGAAGCAGGAATTCAACAATTTAGAATTTCTCATTTAGTTTCCTATATCGTTTGACGATTCACCACCCTGTATATATATATATATATATATATATATATATATATATATATATATATATATATATATCGGAAAAAGGAGTACGACCGTCAAATTCCAATATATAAAAGGATCACTCAACAGAGTGGTGGGCTCTTATATCGGTCAATTTGTAGGTGGAGAAATGAAAGACAAAGTTGATGTGCCACTCTATCTATTTTGAAAACGTTTCGCTTTCGTATTCTGAAAGCATCATCAGTTCATTCTAAAAAGTATAATATAAGAACCACACAATCATGGAAAAGATGTTACAGGTGTTACCTTAAAAAGACATGTAGCAGTCAAAGATGTTAACAAGCTTATGAATTAAACTTGAATAAATGGACAATATAAAGTAGAAATGTATAAACATTTAATTTACTAACAACATTTAGTGACTTATTAAAAAATTAGCACAGTGCGTGACCATGTGGTCAGAAGTATAAAAAATATATATTAAATTATAACGTAGTTGATGCAAAGAACTAAGAAAATCAACGATTAACTTCCAACAATAGATAATTATTAAATTTTAATTTTAACTTTTGGTAGCATTATTAAAAGATGTTAATATAATTTAAAAATAAAATAAGTGTAAAAGAATGAAGTTACCGGTCTAAGCCTTACACCTGCTACCAGGAAAAATGGCGTTAGATTGAACAGACTGACACAGATCTACGAAAAGACAGCCAACCTTGAGGTTGAAAATTATTTCAACAGAACA